TAAAAATTTTTAACTATAAAAATTTAAAATTAAAAACTTAAATTAATAAAATAAATGAGATTAAATAAAAAATAAAACTCGGTACTTCTTAGGGACAAAATCCTCTCTTTTTTAAATCTTAATATTGAATTATGGAGATCTTAAAGATTTTTTTGAAACTCAATATTTTATTCTCTCCATATGACTGGACTTTTCTGGTTGTTCTGAAGCGGCAGTCTCCAGAGTCGTGACGCAGTATCAGATCCACTAGTTATCAATTTGCTTAAATGATGGAACTATAAAATTATAAAAAAATTATAAACAAAATAAAATTATGAATTATAAAAATTATCTAATAAAATTATAAAAAAATAATATAATAAATTATAAATTATGATTTGAACTGTAACACAAATTCTCCTAATTAAACATCTTTTGAAAAAAAAGAAAATCAATTCTCCGGATATCCCAACAACCAAGGAAAAAGAGAAACAACAATAAACGACAAACCAAAAACCAAATAAACAAACAAACCTGGAAATCTTTGTTGACAATCATGCCGACGGTGCAAAAAGCAGTGGCGAAGAAACACATGACCATCTGAATCTCCAACACCAGGGAGTAAGTAATCTCCTGCTTCGCCTTCTTGTAGACCAGCTCCATCAACGGCAAGATGAAGCCGTAGAGCACCGCCGCCCCCACCGTCATCAGGAACCCCATCAAGTACTCCTTGTTGCTCTCCCCCTTGGGCCGGTCGCCGCTCGTGTGGAGCGCCAACACGGCTCCTGCGATCGTCAGCAAAACGACGGCGTTTACGGAATACGACGTGAACTTCTGCTTGACGAGGAGGTAGGCGAAGGCGGCGGTGAAGGCGAGCTGGGAGGCGATGATGAGGGCGGAGGTGGAGACGGGGAGGCGTGCGACGCCATAGGCGTAGATGTAGTCGTCGAGGCCGGTGAGGAGGCCGACGCCGGCGGAGGCGAGGAAGAGGAACGGTTTTATTTCGAAAAATTTGGCGGCGGAGTTTTGGCGGCGACGGCGGTAGAAGGAGAAGGCTAACGGGAGGAGGATGATGGCCCAGCCGCCGGTCTCGAGCCAGCTGGAGAGCCAGACGCGCTTGCCGCCGTTGAGGAAGTAGAGGCGCATGATGAGTGGGCCCCCGCAGTTCCCGATTGATAGGAGGATGCAGTTCAGTATGAGGAGGGCTTTGTTCTGCCTGTTGCCGCCGCTGCTTTGTTGTTCTGCCATTTCTGTAGCTATGGAATATACAATGTGGGGATTATTGTTACTACCAATTTTTCTACAGGACAAAGAAGAATAGGAGAGTAGTGATCACCTCGAGAAAAAGAAATATATATATATATATATATTTTTTTTTTCCGCCTTTGTTTCTTGGAGTGACGTAATAAGGAGTAATGGTCAAAAGTGGAGGACTAGATAAATACTAAGAGTACGTTTGTTTGGAGGATTCGTTCTCTGATTCTAATCATAATTTATAATTCGTTATAGTATTTTTTCTCACAAAAAATACACGTAAATTGAAAATAGTTCTAATCTCATGATTCTAATCCATGAACCAAACGGACTCTAAAAAACAAGGTTAATAGATGTGTCAGTCCCTCCCTAACTTTGAGTAAACTTTGAGCACAGTAACATTTTGATATTTAATAATTCTTATTCTTAACGGTAAAATTGACGAACGATTTTTGAAATTTAACAATGATAAACGTGTGTTCAAGTGGAAATTTAAAATTTTATAGAAAAAATATGTATATGCAAAATTTTCTCTTTGTTACTATTAAAACCTATTAAAAACTATAATATTTTACACGTACTATAACTGTTTATGTAAGATTCTCTATTATGTATGCGATAATAATGTGATTATCTAGAATAAATTTCAAAAAAGTTTGTTAATTTTATTGTCAGGAATTAAAACTGTCAAAAATATAAAAGTTCAAGAGCTAAATATGTTTAAATTAAAAGTTTAAGATCCAAAATGTCATTATACTCAAAGTTTAGGGACTAATAGAGCCATTAACCCTAAAAACAAATCTAAAATTTTTGATCTCCTTACAATCACTCTTTATACATATAGGGTCTGTTTGGTACACAAGATTAGAGAGGGTTGGATAGTATTAAATTTTTTTTATAGGAAATAGTATTCTATTTGGTGAAAATTTTAAAAGACTAAATTGAATAAACTCTTATTCAGTCCATGTTTAAATCCCCTTCTAAGGGAATTTGACTATCCACTATTTTTATTCCAGTCCATGTTTAAATCCCCTTCTAGGGGAATTTGACTATCCACTATAAAAACACGAGATCAAACACACCAGATTGCAAATTAGAGCACATTTGGAAAATTTTAAGGGCCTATCAGAAAGATTTATAAAATTTGGGGTCAAACTGTCTTTTTTTTAAATTGAGAGGTCAAAACATAATTTCTTGTGACTTAAATATGTTAAAAATTTATATTTTTACCTTTCAAATTTGAAATAATTACAATTAGATCCCAAAATTTCAAAAAATTGTGCAAAATGCCTTATCCTAATAACCTAACACCAAACATGAGGTTTTATTACATTAAATTTTTATCTTGTCCTTTCTTATACATTCCAATCCAATCCAATAAAGTCATAATATCATCATATCTTGTGCAGCAAACGGTCATATCTTGTGCAGCAAACGGTTCTATATAGGACTATAAGTTTGCTTTACCTTTGAATAAAAAAAAATTCTGCAATTGTATATGTGGAAAAATGTGTAGATAGAGGACACAATTAAGAATACATTATTTAGGGAAAAATATTTATGATGACCATATTTGAAAAAAAATATTAACTACAACGAAAATGTTTAGGCACTCTCACACCTGAGATAAGTTATTTAAATAAAAGCATATACTATAGAGGAAAGTTTAATAAGGTACATTTAAACACACGAGACTTAAGAATAATAATAAAAAAAAGCAAATGGAGTAAAATGCACTTTTCAATCAAAACATGCATTTTGGTTAAATATGTTTGTATAAGCGGGTGCGAAAAAAATATATTTGAGTAGAGATATATGCGGGAGTAAGTGGATAACAAGTTTGGTATTTATTGGACAAATGTTAGTTTGGACTGCTAAAAAGGAAAAAAAAATGTAAGTAGGGATATGCTTACGAATAATTAAAATATCATATAGAAGAAAAAGAATATAAGTAGGATTCATTTGAGAAAAAAAAATAGTGTGACAGGGAAAATTAGGAAAAGGTGTTTCAATAAGTCATAATTAAAGACATAAAATATATAAAAAAACATTGAAATGAAAAGAAAAAAAAGAGTGCTCCATCAAAACAAGTGTCGTTTTGGTCAAAATTACTAAATAGAAGACATATTGGTTATATTCATTTCAGAAAAATTCCTTTCATAGGGATAAATCAAACGGAAAAATACAAAATAATAAAAAATAATGGAATAACCAAAGTACAAGGTTCTCTAGTTATATATACGTATAAAATAAAAATAAGGCATATTTAACTATTTATGTAAAACAATTTTTATCGAGATACATTGCAAAAAAAAATAAGTTAATAGTACATGTGAGAAAATTAATTAAGGGAAATTGATGTTTAAATAAGGGCACATTAAAAATATATTTTAACAAAGAAATTAGGAAGAATAAGTAGTTGCAAAATTCGTGTTCGCTAAAATAATATTTTAGAGGATGTAAGAAAATTTTTAAGTTAGTGCTGTGCATATGACGAAAAGAATTATTTTGTGATAGGGAGAAATTGGAGGACGTAAGTGTTTTGATGAACAAAAAAGACAAAACTAAGAAAACCGGGAAAAAAAATAAAGGGGAACAAAACTTGGAGGTCAATTTGAAGAAGTTGTATTTGAGAGAATATAAAAGAACATTTAAATGAGGACACATTTCGAAAAAATTATTACTCAACAAGGATATATTTAATTAGAAGGAAAAGGATATTCTGATGATGCGCATTTAAAATAAAAAATATATCATTAGACAGGGGAAAAAAAAAGATAAAAAATAGAATAGTAGAAAGAACTGCCATAAGGCAAAAGAAAAATAACAAATATAAAAGTGCAATAATAACATACTAAGACAAAAGGTTTTGTAAGGATTTTCAATTATTATTATTAGTACTACTACTACTCTTGTTTTCAAGATAAAAGGTTTTGAGTGTAAATTGTCTCTATAAAAACAAGGCTTTTAGTCACAACTTACTTTTAGTCGCAACAAAAGTTGAGAATAAAAGTGTAAATTATCGTGACTAAAAGTATTAGTTACAATATACTACGTAGTCACTAAAAAGTCTGTGGCGTAAAGTTTTAATCACAAGAAAAACTTATATTGTGAATAAAAGTCAATTAGTCAGAACATTTTTTTATCACTCAATATTATCATATTTACAATTGAACTAGAATTATTATTAAGACAAAAAGCTCTTTAGCTATACATTTCTCCATGACTAAAAGGTTTGAGTCACAACATTTCTTTGTGACTAAAAGTAAACTTGATATATTTATCAATATTACATATGGCATTATCATTAAGAGAGTCTTAATTAAATAAATAACATAATAATTTAAGACATCCAATTCATAATAATTAGATCGGTGAACGAAATGACATCAATCGAAGATTGACGACGACTTGTCGGTGAGAACAAATCAATGACGGAAGCCAGCAACAACAAGGAACGAGATGACAGAGAAAGAAGAGAGAGGAGAGAGAAAGAAAAAGAAAAAGAGAGAGAAGAAAGGAGATGAGGGAGAGAGAGAAGGGAGTGAAGAAGAGGGGAAGTTTCAGAAAGTTTGTGGCGTAAAGTTTTAATCACAAGAAAGGAGATGCGGGAAATGGAAGTTTATTATGTGTCAAGGCTCAGTAGATCCGGCGGCTATGATGTGGTGTGAGTGTGCACGTATAAGTATTTGAATCGTTGGTGGTGGTTCCAACCGGGCTAAAGTACTTAATGGGCGTTCGAAGTAGATAATGATGGTAAGACTTCTGACGGTGGTGTGGTTCGCTTAGGCCCAAATTAGGTTGAAGAACACGTGCTCTAGGGCTCTCTTTGTTGCCAAAATCACGAAAATGCTCATGCAAACAATGTTAGAAAATCTGAAAAATAATAATGAAGAACTTCACGAATGAAGAATGGTGAGAGGATTAATCATGTAGTTGATGGAGGAGTGACTCGAGAGGTGGATAAGACTTTTTGATGGAAAAGGGCTCCAAAAGCAGTTTTCGGGCTGCTTTGGAGGCTTTGAGTATGTAGCTGCGCTGGTGGATAAAGCATTGATGGAGAAACATGATATGGAGGAGTCTGATGAAAGAGCTCCGAGGGGAAATGCAGGTCACTCTGAGAGTGGAGAGACCGTTTGGAGCACTCCTTCCAACGGTGGACGAGAGCGGCTCTGAGGTTGGAGACTTGAATACTTCTGAGAAAGTGTAGAAGAAACTCTTGAATCACTCATATAGTGGTGGAAAAAGATTTGAAAATTGTTCTTGAGGAGTTTCTAAGGAGGTCAATACTTAGAAACTATGAAGTTCCTCAAGAACTTGAAGAAAACTCCAAGTCTTTGTAGCAAAAAACTTGAAACAAGCACTCAAAGGAAAATGATTTCTCAAGAGTTTCAGCACTCTGATGGTGTTTCTGATGTGCATGTGTGTTGGTCTCTTGTGTATTAAAATGAAGAAGGTAAATGAGGTATTTATAGGAGGAGATGTGAGTACTTGACAGCTGCTCTGATAAAGGTTTGAACACTCATTTCTGTTTGGAGGAAGGCTATTAGAGGCCTTTCTAGGTTTGACAAAGAGATGGTCTAGAAATGGAATGGAAGATTCTAGAGTGGGAGAAATGGAGGCGGGCTGTCAGAGCATTCCCATTCCGAGGAAAGGTGTCAGATAGCTTTTTGATTTTGACAAAGAGACTTACCAAAAATAGGATGAAAAGTTTCTGGAAATTTACTCCGGCGGCGGTCTGATGAAGTAAGGCAGAAGCAATTTTGTTCGGAGCAAAATTCTAGCTACCTTGTCGGAGGAGGCAAAATGACACCTTAAAAGTGGAAATACTTGAAGGCTAAGTTCCGGATGTTAGACTGACGTGAAGTGACTTCAAACCTAAAATCTCTAAGAGTGTTTAACTCAACTAATTGCTCCGAAGTTTTTCCTTATTAGGGGTCTGATCGTGTGTCAGACCTTCATTGGAGATTGTTTGTATAAGAATGACCAAGTAACAATTGTACTTGCTCTGACAACAGATTGCTCCGACACCAGGTTGCTCTGAATGCGCACGAGTGCTCCAAATAGACA